TGTTATAACAGCTCAACGCTCGACGACCGAACCGCTGGATCGTGCGCGAATGTGCATCTCAGAAGCGTCATAGTATAAAAAACATGCTGCGACCATATTTGCTTTCAGCAAATTATCATGAAAATATTTTCCTTCCTTCATAATTCTTATTTTCTTGATAATAGTGATCGACGCATACTACGTCGAATTATTTTTGCTACAATTGTCGGTTTAAAACTTTTAAAAATACACGTATAATTTCAATAATTAAATAAAAATATATTTGGCCTATAATATGTGTTTATTAACAATGTCACTTATTTAAAAAAAGAATTACGAAAAAAGAAAAAAGGAATCGATCGTGGAATCTCTAATATTCAGATCTCGCATCCTATGCGCGAGACCATGCCGAAGTCTTGCAAACCACTCTTATGAATGTAGTATATAATGCTCATGGAAAATCATGGAAATGTCAATATCTCGTAAATTATCGCGTTTTGAAATTATTTCTGCTGTTATATATAAATTGGAGGGATATAGGATTAGTATAATTTATTAAAACTTATACGTTATCTATAATATTTCTTCTCCTCTTAGTTATACACGTTGCGGTCGAAATTGCCAGAAAGCATTTCTTTTCTAAACAACTTGATATATATTTCTATATATACAAAAATATATTATTATTATTATTATGGTGTTTCCAGCTGATAATATATTGCTGGTTTATACAATGATTCAATTCATTTCTGTAATTGAATAGCGGTACTTCGTTTGCGCGCGACCGATAAGAGGAATGGCGCTTTTTACTAAGTTGACACTTCCGAGTCGAGTCAAAAATGTGCTGTATACAATAATTTCAGATCTTGCATGTTTAAAATAAGTAGCTGAAGATTTACAGAAAACCTCAAAGCATGTGCGTTTGTGCTTGCGTGCGTGCGTGCGTACACCTCCATAACTAAATTAATTAACTCGACCATTTTTATCATACACAAATCGATTATAACTACATTGATAATAATAAGTCCTTATTTTTACATATTTATATAAATATATGTATATATTGTATATATTCTATATAAACTTAAGTTTTCTTAAATAAATGTAAGTCATTTGTATTATAAATGAAGATTGCCAGCTTCCATTTATTTTGAATCATCACTCGCATTCCAATTTCCCTTTAATACCTGATCGCACGAGGTCCAATCCCGGGTCCAAAGGATTAAATTCCTTGACTCAAAAAGTAGGACCGACTTTCGCACTCTTTATCGGAACACGTGTCATAGAGTCCCTTCAGGACGTTGACCCACATTCCGAAAAGATGCGTACGACTCATAGGTGTTTGCCTCTGCATGTATATCTGTAAGATTGTGTCTAACCGTCCTTCCATACCCTCTCCATTCTTCCTCATTGTCTCCTCGATCAAATTTCCAATTTGCACGTAACATTAGAAACGAAGAAATTCAGATGAAGGCTTAAAAGCAAAACTTACTCATGATGATGAAGAAAACTCTCATTTTAGAAGTCCAGTTACGAGAGTCTTTTTGGAATTATAAACTCCATTATCACTACGCAATATAAACATTACAAAAGCTTATGGCAAGAAGTAGCAAATGCTTTAAATGCGAAAATTACAGTTAATAAAGCTAAAACAAAATTTAAAAGCTTACATGATAGATACTGACGAATAATTAAATCAGAAACTAGCGTCAGTGGATCTACTTGAAAAAAAAATTAAAAAAACGAATGGATTCATTACGACTCAATAAATTTTTTACGAGATTCTTGCTTGTTGAAAACATAAGAATTATATAAATGTCAAAAATATTGTATTTGATACAATCTGTAATGATAATTTTAATATTATATATATAGCACTATGAGTACCCAGCAAATGAGAATGAATTAAAATTTTTTTAATGTGTACTTCAAAATTCATGAAAATGGATTGAATGGCTTGAAATGGATTGAATCCGAGCTGACACTAGTTTAATAATCGAAAAAAAAAACATTCATAGGGGTTATAAATTTTATTCCTAAAACATTTGTAATAATTATATCTGAAATTAACTACTTCAAATTGGTATTAAAAAAACGCACCTTAATGGGATTCGAACCTGGGACCTCTGGATTATGAATCTTTTACGTTACCCGCTACATCCCACTTCTTCAATTGGTAAATGTGTTATTCATTCTTTACTTCAATTACAACCAGCTAAACTAGTAACGAAATTATATAAATATAATAAAAATATTATCATTTAACAGATATAATAAAATATAAACAATTTATATTACTATGGCCTGGTTGCACCAATGTTACTTTGATTTTAAGCAAGACTTAAAACTCTCTCTGTCTTGTTTTAAAGCCGAAAAAGAAATAGAGGCAAAGAGAGTTTTAAGTTTTACTTAAAATCAAAGTAACGTTGATGCAATCGCGCCTATGAGACAACATTAAGGATAAGTGTCGGATAATTTAATTTCGCTTGGCCGATGTTGCGCGTCGTGATTAGACTAATATTCGGGCTGTGTTCGATTTGCGAGTGTTCACATCGATCATTCATTTTACTTCTAATCGAAGAGAAGCAAAAGAACATAGCTCAATTATTTTTACTTTATAACTTTTTTGAACTTAGTTGGATTAAAACGAAAAATTTCCTACTTATAATTTTGAATAATTTAAGTAGCATTTATGGTTCATTTTCAAATAAAAATTTTTTTTATTCAATTAGATTAAAAAACTGCATTTCATATTCAGAATTGAATTGAACAGTATTCACACTGCACAGAAATTGCTGATATTATTTTTCAATTCAATTGAATAAAAAAAACTGTACTTTCTATTCACAATTCTGAATTGAGTAGTATTCACGATGCACAAAAAATCCCAATATTATTTTTAGATTGAAAGGAATAGAGATATGCTCTATGCAATTCTCATAAATGAATAAAAATGCATTTAGGATTGAAAAGGATTCATTTTAACATTCATGAATCTGTATTTCTAAAAATCTGAATCCATTTTAATCCATTTCAATCCATTCTCGTTTGCTGAATAATATTGATATAGATGACTTTCAAAATAATTTTGAAAACATTGAATCAAGTATATATTGATTGAACATAAAATATATTAGGTGTTGGAATTAATTCGTAGCGTTTTACAAGTGATGGGAAGTACTTTCATTAATGTATTTTTTAATGCTCATGTGAAATAAATAACATTCTTTCATTAAAAAACGCTACGAATTAATTCCAACACCTAATATTTTTTAATATTGTATAAATATTAAAACTATAAATATAAAAGAATAAAAATTATCAATTTTTTGTACTATTAATATTAAAACATAGTAATGTGACTTATTATTCATAATGTTTACTTTTTTATAGGTAGTATCCCGCAAGAAAAGAAAGAAGAGTTCCTAATTCTGAAAAGTCTGCCAGCGCAATAGATAAAGTTGTAAACGCATTGTGCAACAATAAGGATATACCTATTAATCTTCCGCCTATTTTAGTTCCAGATGAAATTGATGCATTTTTGCAAATGTCAGGATGCCAGCTGAGAATTGGTTTTACGTAAATGCCGAGAATTGGTTTTACGCAAATGGCGAAAGATAATGAGAGTTTTTAATATAATATACGATGCTTTGGACGAACATGCATAATTTCTATTTATGTTATATATAGTTTTGTTTTTACGTTGTTTTTTATTAAAAGTGTGTGTGTGTGTGTGTGTGTGTGTGTGTGTGTGTGTGTGTGCGTGTGTATGTGTGTGTGTATGTGTGTATCGATGATATTAAATATACTGAATTTATAAATTAAAGTTTATAATATTAACACTGATTAAATTGCCATAGTACTTGAGGGTCTCTAACAGCTACTATATACTATCGCTTCAAAATAAGTTAAGTTGTCGCTTCAAATTCAACACTATAAACCTTTTTCATGGATTTCAGTTGTCGCTTGCAACAATTGTGATCCTTTTAACGCTAGAAAACGAGCGTTTTAGGCCGATATTCATAGTCAGATCTTATATTAAAGATCATCTTAAGTACAGTCTTAAGATGTCAATTAACCAATGTCATGAACCAATTAGAAGACAGCATTAGCGATTTAAGATATTATTTAAGACGGTCTTAAAATAAGAACTAACTATGGCCGGTATTCATAGTTGATTCTTATATTTGAGGTTGGCTTAAGTACAGTCTTAAGATGTCAATTAGAGGGCATCTTAAGACACTATTTAAGACAATCTTCAAATAAGAACGGACTAGAATACTGCCCTAAAAGTATAAAAGGATACTACCTATAAAAAAGTAAACATTATGAATAATAAGTCACATTACTATGTTTTAATATTAATAGTACAAAAAATTGATAATTTTTATTCTTTTATATTTATAGGTATTCATAGTCGAAGCAGCGCTTAAGATCATCTCGGTCAAGACTGTCTTATTCAATTAAGATCATTTTGAAATCGTAACATTTCATAGTCATAAAATAAGACGATCTTCGAGAAGAAGTTCTTCCTTGAAGAATTCTTATTTGATTTAAGATCATCTTGGCGAAGATATTCTTAAGGTTAAACTTATTTATTACTCGGCTATTTCCGTCATATTTCTGTTGGATTCTCCAATAGAAAAATTGCATTTGAGAGTTTTACAAATATCATGTATCATTTTGTACATTTTATTAGTCGTGATTATTTCCTGATTCTCTCCAGTTACGTACATAACGAGCAGTAACAAATTATTTGCGGAAATCTTAAAATAAAATAAATAATATTTTTATTTAATGAAATAAATAAAAAAAATTTGATTTGCCTAATAATTTTAAGGTTATTTAATTATTCGATTACTTTAAAAATAATACAATTCGTTTACACAGAATGTCGTGTAACGAAAAAACATCTAGCAGTAAGAACAAACATTATACATTAATGGAACGAAAAGTATTTCTATAGATACTAAATGATTATAAACACGTAATCGAATTAAAAAAAAAGCGATGGTGCAACATTAAAAGAAAAAGACGTTGTATGAAAGATTTGCAACAAATACAATCACTCAACGTTAATTTCTCAAGATGTAAATAACTATCATAAATATTAATACTAAGATTATTGAATATGATATAATATAATTGAATATAATATAACTTTATATAAAATATTGATAATAGAGGAGACTGTTCAGCAATTAAAAAAACTATGGACAAACATAAAGCAAACCCAAAGAGAAGCAATAACAAAGGAAAAACAATCTCGTCTAGAGACGGATGGTGAAACAGAAGCGAAAGAAAATATCGACCTTGACATTGCTAATATAACACCTACGCTTATAAAAACTGCACCAATTTTACTCTATAATATGACAAAAACAGAAATTAATAGTATGTTTAAAAATATTTTTAAAAGTAATTCTGATATTTGTAGAAATATAAGCTTAATTAAAAAACATAAAGACAAAGGTCTACGAGCCTAAGATTAATCGTTATAAAACAAAAATTTTTTAAACCGTTAATAAATAAACATGTCATCTAGTTAAAACTTTAATTTGCCAGTAACAAACAAAACAAAACAAACGTTTCGATCCCTGTTGAATCATTACAAATGTAAACAAAAACGGTGGAAATATTACATAGCTAAGACATCTAAAAATTAAAATTCGATTTCGATCGCAGTATTAATAATCAATCTCGCTCAATGTATGTACAATAAATGTTACAGGAATGTAGTAATCGATAACCATGTATTCCTCTAGATTGTGTGTGTAAATTATAGACAAAACGTAACATGTTTCTATTAAAAAGTACAAATATAATATTATAATCGGAATAAGTAATAGAATCTAAGAGAAATACAAACTAAGAAGCAAGGAATACAAAAAAGTAAAAAAGTAATCTAATATTATGAGAAATGTACATTAAAATCATTAAAACGAATTGTAATTGTGATGAACAGTCATAAATTATATATCTTTAATTTAATAACAGTTAAATCAAATGAGAATAAATACCTTCTAGTTGTGTGTCAATATAATATAATCGTCTATTCTTAGGCAATGCGAAGAGATTGAAAATATAGTCATTACTCTAAGATGCTCAGAGAGACAATAAAAAATCCGCATATCAAGACAAGAAGATTGAAGTGGTAAACTAGAAAGGAAGGGGAACATAAGAGAGAGAAAATAAAATAGAGGGAAGAAAAAGTGGGGAGCGGGGATATAAAAAGAGGAAGAATGCTGTTAAGATGGAGAAAGAGCTTGAATAATCTGTGAGTAAGTTTCAGGTAACGATTTAGTATCATTCTTTTTATTAAGATCTTATTTCTGTCTTCTGATGTGAATCATTTCAGATACTAATCTTTTTAATTCTTAAACGAAGACTCGCAATCCAAAATTTTCACTTCGTTCCATTTTAAATTGTGATCGAAATTGATATGATAATCAGTTATAACAGTAGGAGAACCAGTATTCTTTTTAATATCAGAGATGTTTGTGTAATCTCGTACTTAATTTTCTTTTAATCTGACCATAGCTCGCCTCACAATCGTCACAGGAAATCTTATAAACAACGTTCTAATTAGATAGAAAATCTAACTTATCTTGATTTCTTTTAACAAGACCTTTTAGTGTGTTAGGGATAGAAAAGACTAGTTTACAATGGAACATACTGGAAATAGAAAGGAAACTTTCGGAAATGGATTTGATGTATAAAATCGTGAATTATTTGTGTTTAACTTGTAAATTACGTGTAATATATTTATTATGCATATAGAACTTTAATCTTTGTTCAATTGTGGAGAAGATAAATGACAGAAGATAACAGTTATTTAAGAAAATATGAATAGCATCTATCAAATTTTTTTGTTGGAACCGTGGCTATGATAAGAGGATAATTTTGTCTATGAAACTGATAGTGCCTTTTTTGTGGCAAAGAGGATGATTTGAATGGAAATTAAATAAGGAACTTTCTCGAGAACGTCTTTTTATGATAAATGTCAAATGTAATTCTCTGATCATCTATAATAAGCATTGTATTAAGAAAACTCAATTTGCCATCAGTGCCAACCTCCAAAGTAAACTGCAATCTCATATATAAAGAATTCAAAATATTTAAAACATTATTAATAGCATTATTAATCAGATAGAAGTGCAAGAATGATATCATCAACATATCTAAAATAAAACAATGGTTAGTGATAATTTATTGATTTATTTCTTCTAGATCTTGCATTACGACGTCAGCGATTATAATTTAACTGCAATGGCGGTATTAATAGAGACAACAAACATAAAACTTTAATTGAATTCATTAAACACATTGAAAATAATATAAGGGGTCGACCAAAAAACATTATTAACTTTGTCAGAAATAATTCTATCTCAATACTTAACAGATTCAATAACAATTTTCGATAATCGCTGATGTCGTAATGCAAGATCTAGAAGAAATAGTAATCAATAAATTATCAGTACAACCATTGTTTTATTTTAGATATGTTGATGATATCATTCTTGCACTTCCATCATTGATGCTATCAATAACGCTTTAAATATTTTTAATTCTTTACATATGAGATTGCAGTTTACTTTGGAGGCACTAATGGCAAATTGAGTTTTCTTGATAATGCTTGTTATAGATAATCAGAGAATTATATTTGATATTTATCATAAAAAGACGTTCTCGAGAAAGTTCCTTAATTTCCATTCAAATCATCCTCTTTGTCATAAAAAAGGTACTATCATCAGTTTCATAGACAAAATTATCCTCTTATCACAGCCACGGTTCCAACAAAAAAATTTGATAGATGCTATTCATATTTTCTTAAATAACTGTTATCCTCTGTCATTTATCTTCTCCACAATTGAACAAAGATTAAAGTTCTATATGGATAATAACATATTACACGTAATTTACAAGTTAAACACAAATAATTCACGATTTCATACGTCAAATCCATTTCCGAAAGTTTCCTTTCTATTTTCAGTATGTTTCATTGTAAACTAGCCTTTTCTATCCCTAACACACTAAAAGGTCTTATTAAAAGAAGTTAAGATAAGTTAGATTTTCTATCTAACCAGAACGTAGTTCATAAGATTTCCTGTGACGATTGTGAGGCGAGCTATGGTCAGACTAAAAGAAAATTAAGTACGAGATTACACAAACATCTCTGTTATTAAAAAGAATACTGGTTTTCCTACTGTTATAACTGATCATCGTATCAATTTCGACCACAATTTAAGATGGAACGAAATGAAAATTTTGGATTGCGAGTCTTCGTTTAACAAGAGATTAGTATCTGAAATGATTCACATCAGAAGACAGAAACAAGGTCTTAATAAAAAGAATGATGATGATACTAAATCGTTACCTGAAACTTACTCACAGATATTTAATCTCTTTCTTCGTAACAGCATTCTTCCTCTTTTTACATCCTCGCTCCCCACTTTCTCTTCCCTCTATTTTATTTTCTCTCTCTTATGTTCCCTTTCCTTTCTAGTTTACCACTTCAACCTTCTTGTCTTGATATGCGGATTTTTTATTGTCTCTCTGAGCATCTTAGAGTAATGACTATATTTTCAATCTCTTCGCAGTAATGACTATATTTTCAATCTCTTCTTGCCTAAGAATAGACGGTTATATTATATTGACACACAACTAGAAGATATTTATTCTTATTTGATTTAGCTGTTACTAAATTAAAGATATATAATTTATGACTGTTCATCACACAATTACAATTCGTTTTAATGACTTTAATGTATATTTCTCATAATATTAGATTACTTTTTTATTTTTTTATATTCCTTGCTTCTTGGTTTGTATTTCTCTCATTAGATTCTATTACTTATTCCGATTATTATAATATTATATTTGTATTTTTTACAGAAACATGTTACGTTAACATGTTTTGTCTATAATCTACATACACAATTCAGAAGAATACATGGTTATCGCTTACTACATTCCTGTAACATTTATTGTACATACAGCGAGATTGTACATGAGCGAGATTGATTATTAATACTGCGATCGAGATCGAATTTTAATTTTTAGATGTTTTAACTATGTAATATTTTCACCATTTTTGTTTATATTGATAATGATTGAACAGGGATCGAAACGTTCGTTTTGTTTTGTTTGTTATCGGCAAATTTAAGTTTATATTTTAACTAGATGACATTTATTTATTAACAGTTTAAAAAATTTTTATTATATAATTCATTTTGTTGTTATAGAGAAAGATTCAAAAGATACAACTTTACATAATGCAGATATAGTAGCAGATATTAAGATATTAAAGTGAAAAGAGTAATGAATCAAGAAAAACAATTAACATATTTTAAATTAGAATATGAGAAAAAAATATTAAAGAAAATATCATATAAAAATAATGAATTATCAACAATTAGAACATTTAAAAAATACATATAAACTGGAACTAGAAATTAATAAAGCAAAATAAAAAATTGTTGAATCTCAATACGCGATTAAAGAAAACATTGATCCACGCGTGTGAAGTGATACTCATATTATTTATTTTTATTTCATATCCTTTATAAAATTATAGTTTTTTCTTACAAATTTGTTTAAAGCTATTAACATTAAAGTTTAAATAAGTAAAAATTAAGATTTGCATTTAATACTATTTATTGTTTACTACAATTCAAATTATTAAAACACACATGTGTATATATATATATATATATATATTTATTTTTATTTTAAGAGTTTTAAGTTATGAGGTAGCAAGATAATATTATTTGTCCTCATTTTGATAAAATGACATCTTTCACAATATTATCTTATGAAAATTGTGATAATAAATATAATTCGTTTCGTTTGTAATATCATTTATTATTCGTTCATTATATAACAATGTCTAGTTTAATTTTTTCATATGGCTGTATCAAATTATCTAACACATTAATATACTTTTAATCTTATTGCGTACCTTTTAATTAAGAATAAAAATCCATTATAAAATCCAATTTATTAAAAATCCTATTTCTATTTTACACCGTGTATTTAATTGAATTGTAGTGAATTTAATTTATATAAAAATAGCAAACTATAATAATTTCTTAATTCTATTGCAATTGGAACAATCTTTTTTCTTTTATCTAAACAACCTCTCAATTAAAGCATTTTGCATAATAAAACCATCACTAGCCTGCCACTGACGCTCAGCTACTGGTTCCATCTTCTATTTCTTCTTCTTCTTCTAAATTATCATTTAAGACTAATGATAGATTATGAAGTACGGCACATGCTATAATAATTGTTGTTGATGTTAATAATTTTGTACAGTCCTCTAGATAAACAAGGGAATCTTTTTTTCTATATGCCAAAAGTTCTCTCGACGATTCTTC